ATTAATTGCATGCTTCTTGCAAGAAATAACATGTGAACAGGTCTCAAATTTGGTTAGGATCTCACAGAGCAAAATAGGGAATGAATCAGTAATGGTAATAGCTGGCATTTCTCACGTGCCGGCTAAGTGCCAGGCATTGTGCTAAGCCTCTTACCTGCCATAGTTTATTTAATCCTCACAACTTTATGATGTGAGAGCTATTATCATCCTTAATTTACAGATGAGGAAAGCTAGGCTTTGGTTACCCCACTGCCCAGGGTCCAAGGTCACAGGGTTCACGTGTGGAGAGCTAGGCAGAAAAGAGGCAGCTGACTCCATACCCAGGACTTTGACACTATTCTGTTCCATGTTGCAGAGAACATGAATTCAGAGATGGAAAAGTGCTGTGATGTTTTTGAAAATGACAAGGTTTTTGTGTAAGTAGAAGTCCAGGGAAGGATATGGGCCAGAGGGAGATACTGCATGAAGTGTTAGAACCTGGCACTTCTTTATGCAAACTCAACTCATTTATTTTGTTAATGAGGAAATGGAGCGCCAGAGGGGTTATGTGACTTGCTGAAAGTCACATGGCTCAATAGTGACAAAGTGAGCTCTAGGTTCACACTCTGGCAGCACCCTTTCCATTAAGGATAATTAGAGGCCAGTCATGGATAGGCATTGGATGGATGCCTTGCTAAGGTCTGGCGATTATATAGGAGGGATAGTTATGTAAAATATACCTAACGTATTGTGCTTTTGTGACTGGCGTATTTCATTTAACATGATGTTTTCAAAATTCACTTATGTTGTAGCATGTCTTAGTAATTCAATTATTTTCCCCCATTTAAAAAAGTGTGATAAATATACATATTTACCATCCTGCTTTTAAGTGTGTAATTCAATAGTAGTACACATATTCACACTGTAGTGCAAGCATCACCAACATCCATCTTCAGAATGAAAATTTTGTGAAACTGAAAGTCTATACCCATTAAACCATAACACCATGTGTTAGCCAGCTTTCCATTGCTGTGACAAAATACCTGAGAAAATAAACTTTAAAAGGAGAAAGATTTATTATGGCTCCTGGTTTTAGAAGATTCAGTGTATGGTTGATTGACTCTGTTGTGCTGGGGTCTGTGATGAGGTAGAACATCATGGGGTGATCACAAAGCTATTCACCTTATGGCAGCTAGGAAAGGCCAGGATTCCAATATTCCCCTCAAGGTCACCTCCTCAATGACCTAACTTTCTATAGCTGGGCCCCACCTCTTAAAGGCCCCACTACCTCTCATTAGCGATACAAACTGGCGAGCAGGCCTTTAGCATGTGGACCTTTGGGGGTTATTTAATTTCCAAACCATAACACACTTAGCCCCTGGGAACCGCTGCTCTTTCTACTTTTTGCCTCCATGAATTGCACTCCTTTAGGCTCTTCACGTAGGTGGAATCGTAGAGTGTCTTCATGTGTTTGGCTACTTCATTTAGCATAATGTCCTTAAGGTGCACACATGTCATAGCATGTGCCAGAATTTTCTTCCTTTTTAAGGTTGAATAATATTCCATTGTGTATCTATCTATCTACCACATTTTATTTATCCATTCCTCCATTGATGGACACGAGGGTTGCTTCCATGTTTTACCTATTGTAAATAATGTCACTATGAACACAGGCACAAGCTACTCAGTTCTTTTAGGTATATACCCAGAAGCAGAAATGCTGGATCTTATGGTAGATAACATTGTACTGTTTCCACAGAGTCTACACTACTTTACAGTCCCCAAAAAAGTACACAAGGGCTCCAATTTCTCCATATCCTCACCAGCACTTGCTATATTTCCTGGAAAGGCTGAATAAATTTTATTGTACATTCATATCATGTATTTTATTTATCCATTCATCAGCTGATGGACATGTGGGTGGTTTCTGCCTCCCGGTTATTGTGAACGATGCTGCTATGAACATGGGTGCGCTAACACCTGAATTCCTGCTGTCCATTCTTTTGAATTAGATTTCTTGGGATGATAGATCTAGAATTTAACGTGTTGTGGAATCTGTAGGCTTTTGACAGAGACCTGTGTTCTGTAGGCCAGCTTGGTCTTCCCAGCTTTCTTCTGAACACATACGGGATGGCGTGGGGGGTGTTAGCTTCTCTCTCGCCATTGTCTTGTCCGCGCCCTCTCCCCTGCTCTCCAGAAAGCAGTTCTGAGCCTGCAAGCTGCCGGCAGCTGCCAGCGGGTGACCCTGGTGTTCAGCCCGAGGGAAAGGGGTCTGGGCCAGTCCCAGCGGGTCCTGTGCAGGCGGTGTTGCGGGCAGCACGGAGGATCCGTCCCTTTGGAAGCTCAAGGCTCAGTGGGGCAGTGCCCGCCCACTGGTGGCAGCGCCGGCTGGCCAGGTGAACCGGCGAGGAGTCCCGTGCCCTGGGGCGGGCACAGCCGGGCCGGTGTAGGCGCAGAGCCCGGCCTAGAACGCGGGCGCCCCCCTTCCCGCCCCAGGCGGCCGTTCCGGAGCCAGAGCCGGGAACGCGCCGCCCGCCTGGCCCGCTCCCCCTGGCGTGTCCTCGCCGCGAGCTGCAGCCTGGGCGGGCTCTACCCAACGGCCGGGGGACGGCTGCCGGTTCTCCACCTGGAACACCCCGGCGTACCCCCACTTGCAGCCCGGACCCCAGGAGCCTGGCGCCCCCGGGGAAGCACACCTCCCGACCCCTGGCGCCCCGCGACCACCGGGGGAGGGGACAGCGAGGGCTGGGCGGACCCAGCTGGGGGTGGCCTGGGCGCCGAGCCGCCGCCGATCTGTGTGTCCGCGCGGTAGCGCGAGCGCAAGTTTCACCCAAGCAGGGCGACATCGCCCGGAGGAGGAGAGACAGGGGATCTGCCCGTGCCCGCGGCCACCGGGAGCAGCGATCCGGTCCCGGGCATGAAGGAGACGGGCGCGGGGCGCCGCGATGCTGCAGGTACCGAGCGCGCCCCCGCAGAGATGCTCTAAAGACCCCACGTGGCGCCCGCCGTCGGGGTCGTGGGCCCGGGTTTTTGAATGCCGAGGGGTTTTTTTCAGGGACTTGGCTTTGTGCTTTTCTTCAGAGAGGCCAGACACGTCCCAACTTTTGTCCTTAGGCGTATCCGCCAGGCTCCGAGAAGTTGGAGACAGGAGAGGGCTTATGTATGGGCAGGGGCTGAAATGAGTGGCTTCCCGCGATCCAGAGGACGGAGTGGGAGTGCGGTTCCTTCCGAGCCGAGGACACAGGAGAAAAGGCCTCTGGATAATTTCCTTTTCGATCCTCACTCTCCCAACGCCCTCCCCTATAAGTTTCTATTCTTTTGTTTTAAAACCCGACTTTGAGCCTTCCCGGTGAATGTATCATTGTTGGGGTACCCCTGGAAGCGGCATGCAGGGGTGAGATTTGTCCCGCTGGTATGGCAGTCCTGCCTGCCTGGGCTCCAAGCCTGGCCCCTTCTGACTTTTCAGGTCTGGGTTCTGTGCCTGACAACTGATAGGGGCAGAGGCCAGGGCTGAGCTGGGCAGAACTGGAAGCCTAAAAGAAGAGCAAAATCAGATGAGGAGTTGAGAGAGGGAGGGGCACTGGGGCTGAGCCTCATCAGGGTGCACAGGGTCTTTACCCTGGCCCCTTAAAGATGGGCCCATACTTTGAGAAGGTTGGGCAGTAGGCTTTCCTTGGGTGGGAGGCGAGAGCCTGCCCTTGCCTCCCTTTTCCAGAACTCAGGTTTGCCTTTGTCTTCCTCTTGTTCTCCTGGCTATTTTTTTTTTTTTTTTTTTTGTAGTGGGGATTGAATCTCATCTAGGCGAGTGCTCTACCACTTCAGCCATGCCCTCAGCCTTCCTTTTTGTTTATATTTTGTTTCTGTGGTAGAGTCTCACTTTCTCCAGGCTCTCTCCAACTCTGAATCTCTCCTGTCTCTGGGTCCCAAGTAGCTAGGATTATACACAGGCTTCTCCTGACATTTCCGGTGCTCTCCAGAGGCCATTCCTTGGAGCTGTGGCTCCCTGCGCTGATGTCTTCAGGCTGTAGGGAGAAGTCAGGGACCAAGGGGATTCTGTTTTCCTTTCTGTTTCCAGCAGTGTTGTGACAAACTTTCTGCCCCCACCAGCAGCCCCTACCCCATTATGTGGTGTGTGACCCAGGGTCCGATTTCCCTTCCCTTCCTTGCTGCTGGCAGGGAGGCCTGAGTGCTCAATAGTGACTCCTTGCAGTTCTGGGGTGTAACACTGTACCTCTCCTGGAGCCCATGCTTTACAGACGTTATTGATCTCTGTCTAGAGGATGTTGAAACCCTGAGTGTTTAAGCTGTTCCACCTTAGGACACATCACCAGCCAAGGAAGGATTGTGCTCTCAGGTCATCCCTCAGTGACAGGCTATGATTTTGCCCCTGCAGTCTCTGCCTGGGGACAGGCCCTGGGAATGTGCCAGTTGATAGGGTCACAGCAGCTGTTGAGGTGGGAGCAGGAAGCTTAGTGAGGAGAGGGGAAAGTGGCTGCTAGATTTTACAGCTGTGTTTTGCCAGATGCCTGGCTCATGAGGAGCAGATGGACTGCCTTAGCCCTCCCTCTTTGATGGTATTCAAAGACATTTCTTTGGAGCCACTGGAAAGGAGCTATTGTTAAGATCAGGCTGTCAGGACTGAACAGAGTTTGGAGCAGACCACTTTGGCTTCCTCATACTCCCCACTCTGGTCCTTGAGGAAAAGTGCAGCATTTCTGAGTCTGCAGTGACGGGCTAAACGGAGTGGGAGCCTCATTGTCTCCGCAGCATCCAGCCTTGGCCAATTGAGTAATATGTGGTTTTCCCTCATTTGTCTTCTCTCACTAGTCCCTTTTTTTCCACTACAACACTATCTGTTCACTCTGAGCAGGTGGCTAATGGGGCTGCTGAGGTTATAGAATGAGTTTAAACTCAGCCAGGTTCTCTTCAACATGTAGTCAACTGTCTGCATGTCTTTCACAGGCTTAGAATGGAGCTCGGATTCTGAACTCCTAGGAAGCTGACGGGGACCCTGACTCATTAAGAAGAGCCATCAGCCTTGCAGACATCACTCCAGAAGAATTCCTAGCAAGCTTGCTCACACACCTGGCCAGATGGAGATCACTGTGGGGGTCATGGACGAGAATGCCACCAACACCTCCGCCAACTTTCTTTCTGCATTCGACCCCTACGGATCCCAAACTGCTTCCTTCCCATTCAACTTCAGCTATGGTGACTATGATATGCCCTTGGATGAAGATGAAGATGTGACCAACTCCCGGACTTTCTTTGCGGCCAAGATCGTCATCGGCATGGCCTTGGTGGGCATCATGCTGGTCTGTGGCATTGGTAACTTCATTTTCATTGCTGCCCTGGCCCGCTACAAGAAGCTGCGCAACCTCACCAACCTGCTCATCGCCAACCTGGCCATCTCTGACTTCCTGGTGGCCATCGTCTGCTGCCCCTTTGAAATGGACTACTATGTGGTGCGCCAGCTCTCTTGGGAGCATGGCCATGTCCTGTGTGCTTCTGTCAACTACCTGCGCACTGTCTCTCTCTACGTCTCCACCAATGCCCTGCTGGCCATTGCCATTGACAGGTGAGGCAGTAGTAGGGGAGAGAAAAGTGACCAGGGAGGAAGGGGGATCTGAATCGCCCCTTTCTTTCTTGCAGTCGCATATTGATGGAAAGTGTCTGAGCTCCCTGTAGACCTGGATTAATGGGGCATTAATTTGCCCACTGCCTGAACAGTGAGAAGAGTTCTTGTTTTCCAGCTTTGGTCAGGCAGGAGGTAACAGAATCCTTGGAGTTGAGCAGTAGGAAGCCTTTTGCTCACTCTGCTGTGGACTTGCTCCCATGTGTACTTGTTCAAGGTTTAGAATAGACAGGTAAAAGGAGGTGTTGAGGGAGAAGTTTAAGTTCCAGGCAGTTACTTCTGAGTCAACTTGAAAACCTTGAGGGAAGTTTCTATTTCATCAAGACTTCCTTTACTAAAACATGACCTCCAGGATAATGGATTTTTAAGTAAGATTAAGGCAGGGATTTGTTTTTTGCAGGAAAAAAGGAAGAAAAAGAAAAAGGAACATTTGCTTACTTACTTTTTGTTGTTGTTGTGTTAATCACTTTACACCTTTGCGTTCATCTGCATGCAGCAGTGTGAACCACCTGTTTCTAGTGATGGTAAACAAGATCAACAGAGCAACCTTGGCAGTTTTTCTCTACTTAGTCTTTTCATTTGGTCTAGACTTGTGTTAATGGGCCAGGGAGGTCCTTGTTCTCTGGGGACTGCCTTTGCTAACTCCTCTGCCCAGTTTTTGACTCTCAGCACAAAGCACCTTGTTACAGTCTACAGACGGTGGCCCTAAGGGTAAAATCAGGCTTCAGTGTACTTGGATCTGAACAGCCTGCCTCTCTACTCCAGAGCCAGAAGCTCACATGCTCTCCCTGTTCCACAGCCTCGGGGCTCAGGGATGTTTGACCAGGCCCTCACAGCCCCTTACAGCACTGTGGCTGTGGACAACTAAACTAACGCATGAAGGGTTTTTTTGTTTGTTTTTATTCTGATATTTGTGAGCTTTGCTTCAAATGATTTTTATTCTAATGTGTTACTACCATCTAATTTCAATTTTGTAGTCTAGGAATCATTGATTTGTGATCTATGTATTCAAAAATTTATCAGTGATTTTCAAGTCTGATTTGCTTAGCTTAGGGCAATCAAGTTTTTTATCTTGGTATAAAAATACACTTATGATTCTAAAAATGCCTTTATTTTTTCTAATGAAACTTCTGTAGGCGTAGTGCTCGTGTTACTCTGGCTGGGTTTAAATTCTTGCTTTGCCACCTACTCACTACAGGGCTTAATGCTTGTTAGTTTGACCTCTCTCTGCTTCAGTTTTTTTTTTTTTTTTATCTATAAAATGTGGATAATGCAAAAACCTAATGTACTGAAGATTAACTGGAATAATATCTGTAATTTTTTAGAACAGTGTTTAAGACAAACAAGCACTACATAAAGAGTGGCTATTATAGTTCTTAAAAGACTAAGAACAACAATGAAACCAGATACACTAATAAGCATTTCCAATTGGCTAATCTCTCTGCTTTCATTATCGATTATTTTTACAATATGCTTTAGATAAAATAACAATGGAAGGTTTTTAAGAAACACAGCTATCTGGACGCAGCGGACGCAGCAGACCATTTATCTTCCACCTGCTTAGACTTCTCTGTTCCTACTACTGGTTCTATTGTTCTTCCAGGCATCTAAGCTAGAAAGTCTCTTTTGTCCTGGCCACTCTCTCTTCTTCTCCAGCATTCATTCAACTGCCAGGTCCTGGCCAAATTCACCCTGTCCCCACAATGTTCACTTGGCAAGACTGCCATAGTCTCCCCTTGGTCTTCTTGACATCAGTGTATCTCGCCCTGCTCATCTGCCAGCCCTTCCCCTTTGTACCCCATCCTAAACATTTTTTTATTGTTTTTATTGTACTGGGGGTACACTGTGACATTTACAAAAGTTCTTACAATATATCAGAGTTGAATTCACCCCCTCCTTCACTCTCCTCTCTCCCCTCTCCCCATTGATTTATGCATGCACGCATTCATTAAAAATGTGTTTTCAGTGACTAGGTGATAGGTACTATTCAGAGCCTTGGGGATATGATGGTGAACATGATATAAGAAGTTACTTGCCCTCAAGGAGGTTATTTCCAAAGGCTGGAGAGAGGTAACTCTGAGGCAAACAAACAATGAAGGTAATTTCAGAAGTGAGAAATACGCTGAACAAAACCAAATACACACAACCTCAGAAACATCAAGAGCCATTGAGCGTGGCACCTATTCTAGGTGAAGTATCTGTGAAGAGACTTTTGAACCAACCACTGAGTGATGGGGAAGGTCTCCCTTGTGAAGATTGGGAGAAAGCATTGCAGACAAAGGGAATTATACATGCAAGATCTCCAGGCAGGAACAGACTTGATGGATTCTAGGAATGGAGAGAAGGTTCCTGTAGCTTAAAGGAAGTAAGAAAGGCTGCAACCAAATTCTGTCTTGAACATGTCTCTCCTGTCTTGCTTAAATAACTGATAATAACTCCATTGTCTGCAAAGTATAGCTCAAACCTCTTCACATGTTTCAACCTTATTTTTTCTAGCCCCTGACGGCCTCCCAGTCTCATGATGTGTTAAAAACATTTATGTCCTGTTTTCCAAGAAAGGTTGCAGTCTTTTTGAAGGCTTTTACCATGGCCTTCTAAATTTTCTATTCACCCAGTGCCAGGCATTTGATGAAGATGAAGTTTTAGTAAAATCTTATTAAGTGCCCAGAATTCATGATTAACCAAGATGAGGGAAGGTTTTCCAAGAGGATAGAACAGTGTTTGCAAAAGCCTAGACGTGGGGATACCTAGGGAGGCAGGGAGGTGTGTGCTACAGTGACAGAAACATGAGAGAGGTGAGATCAGAAAGGACAGGGATTTCAAAATCTAGCAGAGGGTACAACCTGATCACAGAGGGAACGTAAAATACCACAAGAGAAATCTTTCCCCCAGGCCTGGGGCTCCTCTTTGATGTGGTGACACCTGTGCTGTCCTGCAGTGTATCCCTTTGATCCCACAGCATACAAGACACTAGCCGCACCCCCCCTTTACTGGGAATGCTGAGGAAAACAGCAATGTCTATGTACTGTGGGAGGCTCTTCCTCTGTCTTGATGAGGCCAACTAATGCTTGAGGAGCCTTGCACAGCCTTAGCAAAAACACATGCCCCTGGTGAAGTCATTGGTTGGGTTCACCTGCCCCCAAGAAGCAGGAGTGCACTTGCTGCCCATCCCATGACCAGCCTAGCTGCTGTTACATCTGCCATTGCTATGGTTAGACCTGGGACAGAATCCTAGGGGTAGAGAGGGAGCCTAAATGCTCCAATCAGGCACCCAGTCCACTATCATCACACAAACTACTGCCTGGACAACTCTTTGTCCAGCAGCCTTTATTCCTTGTTCTTTGGGTACTGCTGGAGATGGATGTTTTTGGACCTACACCACTGCTGTCATCCATCCATACACAGGGCAAGCAAGGGCCTGTTCCTAACTAGAGAAGAGCAGCTGCCAGTTGTCTGACTTCTTCATGGAACATCACTAGATAGAAATCAACTGTGGTGAAGAGAAAAGAGGAAAGGGCTACTAAGATGCCAGGGAGGCTGGAAGAAGGGTCAGGACTGGCTCTTGCTGGAAAGGGAGGGAGCAGATGGCATATTATAGAGGCTATTGGATTGACAGCAAAATGTGGGTTCAAGTCAGGCAATTTCTAGTCAATTTGGCAGGTTGTTTCTTTTCTAGCCTCAGTTTACTCATCCATAAAATGGGCTTCTTTGGTCTCTTACCTATTTCATAGGGTTGGGACTACACAATAAAAATGTGGGTTTGAAAGTCCTCTGTAAACTGTAAACTTCTTTACAAACATAAGCAAATATTACTAATGCTAGAGTTCTAATCTAGTATAGCAAAGGCTTCTGGGAATCCCTAAAGCAGTTTCTGCAGCTAGCCCATTAGTAAATGCATCAGGAAGCTCTCTTACATTGCTCATGGCATTGACCTTGGGAATGGAGTTGTGGTGATGTCAGAGATGTCAGGATGAAATAACCCTGAAGATTCATTTTGATAGGAGGAACTGAATTCAATAAAACAGAAAGTAATAAAAGACTTGCAAATGTAGTATTGCCAATAGTGGGTAAAAGAACATTGCAGAGTATGTAGAGTAGCTCTGGAAAAAAGTACACTTTGAGATACTGGTAGTTTCTTGTATATTAATAGCTGATTATTATTTATATGCAGTAGCTCAGTGATACTTGCAGTTTATAGATGAGGAACTTAAGCCAAGAGGACTAAGAAAAATTACTCCAATTCACATAGCAAGTTTGTGGCAAAACTGGAACTCAATTCTTGGTACTCAGAGTCCTTGATGGGTTCTGATGGGCCTTGCACCATCAGAAGCACCATGGTCCTGTGAAGGACCTGTACAGGTACATGGTCATTGACAAACATTGTGAGTTTGGAGCATCACAAACACTTAGAGCTGATTGTGGTGGCTCATGCTTATAATTCTCACTACTCGGGAAGCAGAGATCAGGAGAGTTATGGTTCAAGGCCAGCCTGGGCAAGAAGTTAATGAGACTCCATTTCAACCAATAAAATTCTGTGCATGGTGGTATGTGCTTGTCCTCCCAGCTATGATGTGGGATGCGATAGGAGGATCCCAATCCATGCTAGCCTAGCATAAATGTGAGACCCTATTTGAAAAATAACTAATGCTAAACTGGAGGTATGCTTCAAGTGATAGAATGCTTGCTGTGCAAGCATGAAGTCCTGAGTTCAAACCCCAAGTCCCACCAAAACAAAAGGGAGGTGGGGGCTGCAAACATGGCTCAAGTGGTAGAGTGCCTGCCTAGTAAGCACAAAGCTCTGAGTTCAAGCCCCATACCGAAAAAAAAAAAATCTTGGGGCGTCAACTGGGAGGAGAAGAAATAGAATTATAAGAGAACATTTCTACAGCGAACAATTATGAAGACGATTTCTTTTTTGACAGAGTAGTCAGCAGAACACTGTGGGGCAGACAGAGAGCACATGAACCCACGACAGCAAAAGCTCTGGGCTCTTTAATTTTCAGTGACTCAAGCCAATCGATGGCCTCGCACCATCAGAAGCACCATGGTCCTGTGAAGGGCCTGTACAGGTACACTGGCCAAAGCATCACCAACCAACACTGCAGATATTCCTGTTCTGTTTTTTAGCACTAAGGAGTCGCCTAGAGTGCCAGGGATGCATGCTGGTGGCCAAGCAGGCAGGCAGCTAGCTGCATGTCCAGAGGGCACCCAACCCACCCAGCTTCATCAGTATCTTCTGGGAGTTGGAGAACAGAAGTCCCCTGGGAATCTTCAATTCACAATGAGTTTGGCTGTTTGCATTGTGGGGGAGAGACAGAAATGGCAAAAATATCCAAAAAAAAAAAAAAAAAAGAGAACCTCTCTTCAGATCAAAACCCAAGAAAGATGACATAACCTCAAAGGGATTTATTTCAAAGAAAACAAAGAATTGGTTTGCCTTTCTTTCAAGCCCCTGTCACATTGTGCTCAGTTCTACCAGGGATAAGCTGTGACACATGAGAATGTGTTTATTTCCAATGTTGATTAGTCATTCCCTCCCACTTCACTTCCCATCTTTTTCCTTCTCCAACTTCCACCCCCTGGCAGGCATGGAAAGTGTTCCAGGAGACCAGGGCTCTGTGTATAAGCTGTGTGCTCTCACACCACCCTGGTGACTCACAGCCCCCAGACAGTACTCTCTCCTTCCTGGACCACCGTGATAACCATAGTGTGGTTCTTTTAGAAAGAACAAAAGCAGTATCTTTGACTGCCTGATGTTTTGTGGTTAAAAAAATATATGTTCGTATGCACTCTAACTGATTTTCACATCAGCCCTGTGAGGTGGGGTGAAATGTTTTCTATCGAGGATCTTGTGGTATATGCTACTCTCTCTCCAGCCTCCATCTTGTCACCTGGAAAGGGGGACGAATGACAATGTGCTTTTCCTCCATGTCCACATGCACAGCAATATTTTCTAATGCCTGTCATCTCTCAGTTGGAAAGGAAAAATTCTCCCAGCCTCTCTTTGGAGTTATCAGTCTTATTTAGCTCGGAATTTTTGGGCAATTAGGATGAACAGCATGAAAACAGGAAGGAGCTGGGAATAGTGCCAGGCTAGCAACCAATGGGAGATTTCATTACCACATTTCATAGTAATATTGCCTTAAAAAAAAGTATATCCCATGTTTAAAACTTTGTTAGATGTAATGCATACATATTCACGTTTAATCTTTAAAAGCAACCCACAACTTTGGGGGATAAGGAAGCTGAGGTTGAGAGCGATTAAATAAGACTTGCCTGAGGTTGCACAACTAGTTGAAGTGAAGCTGGTTTGCGTTCAAGTCCACTTGGAGGAAGCCCACGTGCCACTGGGCTTCCCCCCAACACACACACCATTCATGCTTGTAATGCTGCAAAAATGAATTTCTCACCCAGCACCTGCTGCTCACCATGGTTGACTCCATTCCTGTTCTTGCCCTAGGTATCTGGCCATTGTCCATCCGCTGAGACCACGGATGAAGTGTCAGACAGCCACCATCCTGATCGCCTTGGTGTGGACGGTGTCCATCCTCATTGCCGTCCCGTCAGCCTACTTCGCCACCGAAACTGTCCTTGTCATTGTCAAGAGCCAGGAGAAGATCTTCTGCGGCCAGATCTGGCCTGTGGACCAGCAAGTCTACTACAAGTCCTACTTCCTCTTCATCTTCGGCCTGGAGTTCTTGGGCCCAGTGGCCACCATGACCCTGTGCTATGCCAGGATCTCCCGGGAGCTCTGGTTCAAGGCGGTGCCCGGGTTCCAGACGGAGCAGATCCGCAAGCGGCTGCGCTGCCGTCGGAAGACCGTCCTGGTGCTCATGTGCATCCTGACCGCCTACGTGCTGTGCTGGGCGCCCTTCTACGGCTTCACCATCGTGCGTGACTTCTTCCCCACCGTGTTCGTGAAGGAGAAGCACTACCTCACCGCCTTCTACGTGGTGGAGTGCATCGCCATGAGCAACAGCATGATCAACACCGTGTGCTTCGTCACGGTCAAGAACAGCACGGTCAAGTACTTCAAGAAGATCATGCTGCTCCACTGGCGTCCCTCCCACCACGGGAGCAAGTCCAGTGCCGACCTGGATCTCAGAACAACAGGGATGCCTGTCACGGAGGAGGTGGACTGTATCCGACTAAAGTAACCCGATGGACGATCGAGTTTAAACGTAAGACAGGACCTTTGGGGACACTGGCCAGTGTGCTTGGATACATATACCTGTCAACCACAAATTCCATCCTCACAGAGGGAAGAGTATGGACAACTGTGTGGCCACTGTGTTTAATGAGCTCAGAATTTCTAAAACTGATGTGACTAGACACTGTCACTAATAGTCAACATTCACTGAATGTCTAATTTGTGCCAGGAGTAGGCACTGATGAAACCTAATGTTTTGATGACGTTTAGTTGATAAAATGAAATAGGGACTCAACCAAGGAAAATGTGGTGTAGGCTGTCTGGAATACAGAAGTTGCCAGAAGGGAGCCAGAGAAGATATGTAGGATTGCAGTTCATGTGTTTGTAGTGGGAGGGCATCTTAGGTGGTCTCTGCTGCTCCCCTCACACTGGTCCAGATCATCTCTAGGAATGCTCTGAGGCTTCAGTTCACTCCTAACACTTGCAAGGCTGGGTCAAGAATACAAAAGCAGCTCCCAGCTCTGTCTACAGTCTTTCTTTTCTCATCCCTGGTCTGATCCTCACTGGGAGAGCCTTGTACATATGCACATGGACACCCCAGGATTCATGGCCAAGTTCTGTGTACACGTTCTGACCTCACCTCCCACACTGATCTACCCAGACCCAGGGCTTATCCGAAATGATAAAACTTAAAATCAAGAGGATGGACTTGGAGAGAAGCCATATAGACCATGGATGCCATTTGGACAAGGAATTATGGGATTCTGGTTCTTAGGGGCAAGTCTAGAGAAAGGAATTCTGGGCTTAGGGTAGATTTGTCTCCTTGGCCTTATGGGATACTTACTCTGGAGTTGTAGGAGGATGGGAGGGACTGGAGGGGAGAGTCTGAAAACACGGGCGTTGGGGCAGAAGCTCAGGTTCTCCAGGTATAAGGATGAAGTTGCCTCATCTCTCAGTTATTCTGGCCTGGACCAATTTGAAAGAAAGGGAGTGTGAATGACCAGGGGTAGGTCCAACAATGAGCTCTAGTGACCCCAGCAACTTACTAAAGGCTCATCCCAATTTCTAACCCGCCTCCTTTGTTTGGTGTTTGCAATTTTGGAATTTGAAACATTGGACCAAGAAGAGCTGAGATCCAGTCTTGGCTGTATGGTTTATGTGGCCTGGGAAAAGTCTCTCTGAGAGGACAAAGGTCATAGTTGTGAAGCCTTGTTGGAGTGGTTGTTGGGAACCTGTGGAATAATATGTGAGGAAATGCATTCAACTGTGTGCCTGAACAAAGAAAACTTGTTACCTTGGCTGACGTGTCTAGCAACCTCACCCTTTTCTCTTTCGTTGTTTTCATGTGGAGTGTGTCTGTACCATTCTGCACGGCACATCACGCATTATTTCCTGATAACATGTTGGTGCCAACCAGGCTATGAGATTTGGTCGCCGAAGATAAAGGAAATGGTGGCAGGGTCTACAGTTAGGAGATGAGCTCAAGGCTTCGAAACTCCAGAATCAGAGCGTCTTGGTGATCATGACATAGTGACCACCTTCCAATGTGTGTTCCCAGCCAGCATGAGTCTGGGCAGGGATAAGAGCGTTTCTCAGCCTGTTTTTATTCTCACAAGTGTCAGAGCTATGGAGTGGACTTGTCCTTTCCTTCTTATATAATTCCAGAGCAGAACATTTAGAAGGCTCAGTGATACCTGTGTGGTGTTTCCCCTCCAAATACAGTCAACTCTGTTTTGGGCAGAAAAGTTTATTTTTTTATAATTTATTACCCTAGCTTATTTCCAGGGAATAAGCTATAAGTTTATACATAGATTCAAAGACCTACTTATTTCTTCTCACTTAGCGCCCAACAAACTTACCTTACATTTTAGTCAGGATTTTCTCAGAGAATAAAAGTTAATTAAAATATAAGCCTAAACTAAGTACACATTGGAAAGCAGTTCTTATTTTCTTATATATAAAATCATATATTGCATTCTAAAATGACTAAATGTGGGCTTTTGAATTAAGAAGCAATGAAGTGATATAATTTATTGGTATTGTGTTCACCATTCCCATTAAGAAGGCTAAACAAGAGTTGACTATACTAAATAGGAGTTTTTCACATATGATAACTGAAATTCTTTCTGCTTTTCAGCTGAAAATGTATCAATTTTTCACTCATTTAACTGTCTGTAGTATTTCCAGCTATTAGCGTCCGCTTTGATTTTTGTAGTGAATGGATGTTGTGTTAGCAAGTGAAATAAAAACAGATGTATGTGTACGTAGGATGTATTAGTACGTGCCGGTGTCGTGTTGTGGGTCAGTGTCGAGGGTCCTGGCCTTCAGAGGCCAGAGAACTGGCTCTTGAGGCAGTTAAATGATGAGTCAAAGCGGGTATATAAAGTAGGATTTATTAGAGAGAAAGGAAAGGCTACAGCTAAGGTACTGCAGTGGAGCCCGGAAGCCAGTGGCTCACTGCTCGGGTGAAGGCTGGGGTTTTTATGGACGTTCTAACTCTGGGTTAGGTGAGTTTTTCTCATTGGCCATGGATTCGCGGGCTTTCTCAGGGGAACTGGTTTGGTTTGCACCTTTATTGGGGGAAGGGAACAATCTTGAGAGCATTTTGCTCATCAGCCCGTGGCAGATCTATCAGACCCTGTATCTCTTCTTTAGGATGCAGAAATGCAGGTTACAACTCCCTCTCAGGGTACAGGAATGCAGGCCTAACTCCTCAGGATGCGGGAATGACGGTGCTCTCCAGGGGGAGATGGATCCCCATCTGCCTTAGGTCTCCAGACCCAACAGGATCATTATAGTTCCTGTAGTTTCTGTTCCACTTCCTATCCTTGTCCAAGTTCTAGGGTGATGGCTTTTTGGGTGAAGACTGAATAGATTCCATGATCATGATTTCTGACAACAGTGCTACCCGTGCTCTTACTGCTATAAACTTCCCGCCTCCATCCTGAAGAAATTTAACTGATTTATATATCTTCTTCCTTTAAATCTGCTCTGGTAAAGTCATTAATACATTTTGGCACCAAGGTGCCAAAACTTGAAATCTGAGACCCATTTACTGCAATTACATAAATTAGGACTAAACCTTTTGAACAGGAACAGGGTTAATGTCCACACCTGCAGAAAGAGCAAGAGACAGACCTATGACAAAATGCCATGCTCAAACTTCTTGAGCTGACTGCCAGCTGATGGTTTCTCCAAAGACTGGTGCTAAGCCTAATAAGGTGACACTCATGTCTTTTCTGTTCTCTGGAAACTTTAAATATGCAAAGAGATATGCATATTTTCTATACAGAAGAGCAAAGATGTGATTTTTTAAAATCAAACCATTTTCATAACTAAAGTAAAAGGACAGATTTACTGTAAAGCTTTTGACAATTTTGCTTACTGAGTACATATTTTAAAAAATAATTTCTTAAATCAAAGACATTAAAACAAAGCAATGTGGTGGTCACCCCAGCATGTTCCAAAGCGTGAAACAAGTTCCATACTCATTATGGAAAAGAATGCTAAAGAATTTGTGAGATGTCCAGAAAATTATAAGTAAGTCTTGCTCTTGAAAAAATACGATACATTTTGGAATGCATCCACAAAAAATGAGTCCAGTTCTCCTTCCTAGAGTGTGAGAATATCAAATTCAAAACATTCATTTTACAGTTGATGAAACAAGTCCAGGATGGGTAAGAGATATGTCCAAGGTCACACACCTGGTCATTGTGAGAGACAGGTTTAAATCCCAAGGCTCCTGAAGCCGAGTCCAGGGTTCTTCTATCACAGCACTCCTTGGTGCAAGGAGCATCAAAATCTTAGAAAGGAGAAGGATGCTTTCCAAGAATCCTCGAGGTGACCTTTCAGCCGCCTGGGCTCCTCAAGAGACCCTTAAGGAGTTTAGCAGACAATCCTGGCTCCCTGGCAAGCCAAGTTTAGCTCATTCTATCCTTGAGAGTCCGCAGCACAGATGTGGAGGCCAGGAGGTTTTAGGGAAGCACTGCTCAGACATGTTTATAGTTGCCCTTTCCTGACCTTGACTACCTGGGTCCCTAAGAATGTAAAACAAAGCCCCCAGTCTCCTGCTGTGAGAGAACCCTGCTCACCCAGGAAGCAGAGGGAGAGATATAGAAGCCATGCTTGTTTTGAGTATTCAGTCTGGCCGGCAGGCCCTGCATGCCAGAGTTCAGAGATGTCAGACAGTAGCCTTTTGCCTCTGCCATTCAGGAAGAGAGAGGTAGGGGAGGCTTTTGGATACAGGGGACCTTGAACTTGACAAGTGAGGTGTAGAAAAACAAAAAGGGAAGCATTCTACATGGGAAAAGAAACAGTAATCTACTCTTGAAACTGAAAGTGCTATTCCCTGGAGGCAAAGCCTCTCACCATGTTAGGCTTGTCATTCCTGGGAGACTTAATTGAAAAACTGGAAACACAAACCTAAATAAGAAATGTCAGAGCCTTACCTGAGAATGAGTGTTCACAGGAGGAGATGGGGGGGCAGGGCAGAGAGCAGCCGCTAGGAGGCAGGGCTGTGTGATGGGGTGAGGGAGGCATCCCAGGGCAAAGCAGGAGAGAGGTTGTGAAGAAATCTATAGCTGACCTGATGCTAACAGCTGGAAGCAGCTACCACATGTCCTGTGGAGCTGAGCGTGTTACAGGACTAGTCTCATTTGGTCTTCACACCCTGTGAGTCAGAGGCAAGTATATCATTCCCAGTTTACAGATAAGGAAGCCTCGACTCAGAGAGGTGGCTCAAGGTCACACAAGAGGTGAATTGTGCTCTGAGATCTGACAACAAGCAGTTCTTCCAGGAGCTCATGCTTTTCCTCACTCTGGGCTGCAGCATTTAAGTGAACCTCTGCGCCTTCCTTAGGCTTTCTAAGAAACCAAATAGATGCAACTGTCCTGAAGTCCAATCATTTAGTTTAAATCATCCAAATTAACCAGATTTTCTCTAAAATAGTATATCCCTCCTTCGTTTTTTCCTCTGTGAGAAGTTTGTTCTTTTTCGTTTTTGTTTTG